GTCTAAAATTCACCACCCCATTGGGGAATATAGAAATCCCTACTCCAAGATTTCTTACAACATATTACCCTCACATTAGTTAAAATTACTTTTGTTTTCTTTTTGCTATCAGATTTAAGAAGGGCATTAGATGTAATTATGAATCATAATCAATTTTCCATTTTCACTTTTATATGTATATATATATATAGAGAGAGAGAAGTAGATCCTGTACACCTATTAGCTGACCGCTACAGTAAACACCAATGATCTAGATTGAATCTAGGCCGATCTGACGGTCACAACCTATTTTCGTGTTTGAATTTTAATTTTTTTTTTATAAATCCAAATCACTTGAAATTTTAGGTGTATATTTTTTTCATCAAGACGCACTTAATAAAAATATAAAAAAAATAATCTGCAAAAAGTAAATTGATCAAAATACCCCTAAAACTTTATAGGGGTATTTAGTTAATTTTTTATATAAAATATTTTTTTATATTTTTTTTTATGTACAAACGCTCTAAATTTCAGATCAATCTGATTTGTAAAAAAAAAAAATTAAAATTCAAATACTATTGAATATTTGAGATCGTTAGATCCACCAAGATTGAATCTGGACCGTTGACGTTTACTGTCGCAGGATACCCTTGGCCTGACAAAAAAAAATTTCTATATATATATAATAACCGGCTTTTTTACCCTAGTAAGTCGTAGAGCATTGCCGCCAGGGGAGCACGCTGTTGTAAGCAGTCTAACAAATTACCGTAAAAATATACGTTTATAAATAATAAAGCACTCTGTGCGATGTTTACGTCAAATAAAAGCAACGGGACAATGCCATACCAAACACAAGTCTCTGTGGAAGCAAAGGCTTGCACAAAATTCCAAACACCATATTTCGCGTGCAATGATTAAAAACCTTTGGTTTGTGACCTCATACACTCATTTATGGACACGGTTCCAACATGGGCTTGCCCATAAATTTATTTTTAAATATAATTTGAATCTAATTTTTACATAACATATAATTTTTGACATCGAAATCATGAATCTAAAAAATGAGTAATGATTTTATAAGGCCCTTCCTCATTTATGTAGGTAGGTTCCCAAATGATCACCATTAAAATTAATAAAAATCTCTAGAAACATTATCACGTAGGTGTGACATTTGATTTTTTTATATATCCATGTCAAATTTAATGGTGATCCATTGGGTCCTATACATACAGGTAGGAGAAGGTTCTATATGATCATTTCCCATAAAAAATATATATTTGAAAACTAGAAAAAATAATTATATTAAAAAAAAACATTTGGACCGTTAGTTACACTTGTTTTTAGATGGACCACCTATTTGCATCCATCATTAAGATGGATGCCTTACACCTTTGGATCGCATATTGTAGAAATGCAATCCAGCCCGCATGAAACAATTTTCCCTCACTTATTCTAATGGTCAGCAATTGTTCTACATCGTCGAATCGCTCTCTCTCCCTTGACAACTCTCTCTCTGAACGTAGGGATAGAATTTCCCAATGGTTAATGGTGAACAACTATTTTAGACCATCGAATCGTTCTCTTTCTCTCAAGACAACTCTCTCTATCTAGTTATAAAATATGATACCATTTACCTTTGATATAAAGTAGTCACAATTAAATTTATTCTTGGTATAAGGTGATCACAATTAATCTTGATCGGAAATTAGGTGACTGCATTTATTATATTGACCATGCACAAAGTTCAAAAGAAATTTCATAATTATTTTTTTACATCAAATTTTATAATGAACCGTTATAAGAGTGTCGTTGGCTAGACTCAAAATTTAAAAAAAATTCCCCACTTTGTCGAGTTTGACTATAAGTATATGTGACCTCCTTAGGTGAAGATCAGGTGGCTTTAAAGATGGTACACCATCAAAACCCACCTTTGTGCAATCTTTCCCACTGGACACCTAAAGATAGTGAGTGCAATCCAAACATAAAAGAACAAGAAAAAAAGGACAAATATCAATTGGAAAAAATTTATATAAGGCATCCACCTTTATATAGTAGAAATAAGGTGCACCTCAAAAATCCACTAAAAAAAATTGTTTCTAAGTAAAAAAAACACTACTATCGACCACCTCGACTTCGATATGAGCATATATGAAAGAAAAAAGAGATTTCATATCTTAAAATAATGTATATTATAACACATTATCTAGATTATTTTCAAGGTTTTTTAATGCTTATAGAACTACTTGATCAACATCATTTTTTAAGCTTTGGTTTTCATAATTAAGGGTGAAAACAAATTTCTTAATCATTAAAAAAGTTTCTAATATTAGAATAACCTTTCAGGTAGATTTTTGAAGTACACCTTACTTCTATAGAGTAAGGTTGACACCTTATAGAAACCGCACCTAATATGTTTTAAGGGGTTATAAACCCTTATAAAGCCATGAGGCCCTATTGATATCATTCTAATAGGTACCTCCTCAATAAATACATTCACTATTGGTCAATTGTAATGCTTAGGATTGAGGAATTGCTAATAAAGCAAGTTTGTTTTTGTTAGTTTGATCCAGCGTGGGACTCACCAGGCATGTCAAATCGGACCCGGCTGGGTTAGCTGGAACCGGCCCATGGGCGGGCCTGGTTTTGGTGGAAAAGTAACCAAGTTTGAAAAAAACTTCATACAATTATTAACAAATCCAAAGAAATAAAACATCTCCAAGGACTCCAATTTATTCTAAATTTCCAATATTCATGCGGCTAGAGATGGTAGCACTGTCTTTCCCTATTTAACAGGGCTGGAAGGATGACATTTCAAAAAAAATTCAAACCACAAATTATGTAGCCGTCATAATCAAAATTTACTACTTCCATCAAATCGATCAATTATTGATATGAAATGCGAGCACAATCACATAATCATCTGACCAACAAGTAAACTCATCAGCATTTATCAACATTAAAGCTCTCGACCAATTTTTCAACATTCCCAAAAATATTTCAAAAGGTCCTAAAACATAGAGAGAGATCAGTAAGAAACTTAGTGGCAATCACATGATAATATCACAATTATCTTTTTAATCTGGAATTTTGGATTATTATTGAGAATTTAATGTATTAAATGGATTATTTTATTTCTATAAAATAAAATTTTATTGATATTAATAATTGAGAAAGCTTTTTATGTTCCCCGTACAACATAGAAATCCTATCCTCCCCCCTGCCATCCAGCCATCAATTTTTTATCAAGAGAGTCATTCATCGTCTGATTTTAGATCCGACTTCACAAAGTATTTTATTTTTAGTTTTTTAATAAAAAATTTCTCCACATAAAATTTGGTATGTGCCATCTTCTCATTGGGAAGCACCTATAAAAAATAGTAACAATAATTTTTGGATAAAAACTAATGACCAAATACCCCTTGAATTTTCAAGGATATTTTAGTTATTTTATTTTATTGAAAATATTTTTTTATATTTTTCGTTAGTACGAGTTTAATAGAAAAATAGAGGTCCAAAATTTGGTGTCAAAACAGTTTATAGAAAAAAAATTAAAAATAAAACAATGTAGAGACATGACATTGTGATTGGGGCAATCTTAACCCTTCATGAAAAACTAGACGGTTGGATAAGAGGGAGGATTGAACTTCTATGTTGTAGAAAGAAGATAAAAAACTTTCCCTTAATAATTATGGATTAGGTGACAACGTTGACAAATATTTCTAACATCGAATTAAAATACCAAAACTCACCGTCCAACTTAATACCTTTACATGTCCATTATCAATTCTTTGCAAACTGCCTCCCATTTTCCTTATAGAGATTTTTACACCTAGTTGTGGGTAAATGGTGTTGATGATAAAGGACAAAAGATATGGCAATATATTCCTTCAGATATGAATAATTCAGATCTTGCTTTATTGCTCGTATATTTTCCGTTTATATAGATATATACAATCAGTCACACATAGAAACCTTTTGTGCATTTGTATGGTTCAAGGTCAAGGAATGAGATACGACAATTTCTCTCTCTCTCTCTCTCTAAGAGTTAACAAATGAAACATTCCTTTTTAAATTCAAATTGCTAGTTTTGGTTTCAGATTACATGTACACTATCGAGAAAATTTCTTTTTATGGTGATAATTAGGGGATACCCTAAATCATCATAAAATTCATTTTATCTGGATAATTAAAATTATTATCAAACAGTAGAATTTATGGGGATAAAATGACAATAATTTAAATTTATCAAGAAATAATTGTTTGTGACCGAGGTGAGAGAGGAAGGGTTTATCTGACTTACCTTGGCATCAAAATGGAATCGATCAACGCCCTTCCAATTGTCAAGGTCATAGGCAGTGTAGTGTTTACAGCAAGCTGCCACTTTCAAGCGATTGGGATCCTTTGCATCAAAAGCATTTTGGAGGCCCCTAACATAGCGACCAGCGTACCTACCCACCACAGTCGGGTCTTCACCTGGTGTCTCCTGTCCTCTTCCCCATCTCGGGTCGCGAAAAATGTTCACATTTGGGCTCCAAAACGTTAGCCCAGCTAACCCCTCATTGTACATTGCCCTGGCCTCAGTTGACACTGCCTGCATATTGATAATAATAATTATTAAATTATTATAAAAAATTAAAAATTAAAAATATGGTTTATTTATGACATGAATTTTAGTATGGCTTATTTAATAACATGAATTTCTAATACTTGGCTTTTTGGCCTGGAAATGTTGGGGAGGGGTAGCAATGGGCGGGGTGGCTCCCCCCTTCCATAAAAGGCTAAGGGGTGGGCAACAAAATGTGGCCTCAGGGCGGGCCAAGGCTGGGCCACCATGGCCTGAAGCTTGGGCCTCTTTGGCATGGGCCCGGACAGGCCTGGTATGAGACTGGGCCAGGCTGTCCCTCAGGGTGTAGGGCCAGTCTGGCCCCATGCCTTAACACCTAATATAAAGCCAACTAAAGCAATTATGAGACTGGCTATACCTTTGACATGATATTAAATACTAACTTAGAGTAGGAACTAAGATAATCTACACAAGTGATGTTTCAAAAATTCAATTTTTCCACCCACATGTAGGGATAAGGAAAATGAATCAAATTTCATTTTATAAATTATTAACCAAAATAGGGGTGGGCTAGTGTCTTGGGCATTCTGGCTGGGTCCACCAATCGTGCTAAGGGTACTTCCCACAGTTTGAAAAGGGAAATTGTTTCACGTGGGCTGGACCGCATGACTACCTATGTGGTCCAAAAAATGTAAAGCATCCATCTCAAAGATGGATGCAAGTAGGTGTTTCATCTAAAATTAATGGTTCAAATGTTTTTTTATTAGAATTATTATTTTTAAATTTTTAAATTTACTTATTCTTTCATATTCATCATCTCCATGCTACAGATTACTGAGTCCTTAAAAATTAAAACAAATAATTCATCTTAAAATTAGCTTTATTAATAAGCCCGCATTTCTATACATGCAGGGCTCGACCGCATAAAAAGTGGATCCATTTGAAAATATATGGATAGGGCGATCCAGCTCGGCAAGGAAGAAATGACCAAACCATACCGAAGTTTCTAAAATTTTACCGAATTGCCCCTCATCGTTCACCTGCAGTGAAAGGTTAAATGCCCTTTACTCAACATAGTTAGTTGTGGGACCCACACACGAAATGGTCTAGATTTTGATTTGCAGCGCGTCTGACAATCTGGGCCGTCCAAAATGGACTCTAACTTTTTCGGTCACGAAGCCCACAGTACGTAAATTTCAAGTGACATGACATACGGTTTTCGCTTGGGTCATGTAAATTAAGAAACTCACAGGGGACAACGTCGTCATAAAGTCAACGAAAAGAGGGACCATACCAAAAAAGGTTCACCTAATATGGTCCTTGTAGATAAAGAAAGGGAGACTTTCAGTCACTCTTCTTTCCAAGTCAGGGAATTGAAAACTCTTGTGTCTTTCATTTTCATAAAAAAGAAGCAGGGATATGGTTTACTGTTTTTTCCATGTTAAAAAGTTATATGCTAAAGAACATGGCACCCAAAGATAGAGAGAGAGAGGGGCAATTGAAGGATTAATAGAGAGAGATGGACAATTGAAGGATTAATATAGAGAGAGAGAGAAGAGGAGAGAGAAATAATGTGTAATATAATGGATTGGAGTTTGGGACCATTCACATGTTGGAGTTGAAGCTTCCCCACAGGTCAGCTTTCTGCTGTAAACTTTGGACATCACGTGTATAAAATATATTTAAAAGTGAATAGAACGAAGACAGTAGCCAAAAAAAAAACCCATGTTTTGCCTGGTCTTTAATGAATGCCTATGGACACAACAGAGAGAGATTTGAGTGAAATTTGTTACTGTGAAAGAAACTGTTTTTCCATTGCGAGAGTATGAAGGACCACCAGGGGATCAGAGAGAGAAGCAAGGGTTGAAATGGAGGCGATTTTGTTAGAAACAATGGCATGAATCATTAGAAACACTCCGAATTTTGCAGCCTTTGTTCGGGATCCCAAACGCTCACTTTACGTGGAGCTGTGTCGCACCAACAAGCAACATTTCTTTCCCTTTCCCTTTGTCAATTTTTTTTATTTTTTTTCTTGGTTAGTAAAGTTGGTGTTTGGTAATTAATTGATTATGAGAAAGAAGGCAAATAATGAAGTTGGGAAAGTCGCACCAAGAAGCGCACCGCTTTAACTTTACCCAACTCACAACACCATCGCTTCTATCCATCCCAAGTATGAAACCTCATTAACTCGCAAGCGCATTTATATCTGCCCTCCATTCTCACTACCTGCTCCAAAGCTAACCACTGCCATCACCTCTACTTTCTGCTTAAAATTCAAGTTCCAAAGTACCGTTTGCATGTCATGTCAACCACTGAGGAAAAAATTTATATAAGGTTGTAACTTTATAATGTAGAGCTAGGGATGCACCTCAATAATCTATCGGAAAAGATAGTTTTAATGTTCAAAAACCCATCTAAAAGATGTATGATCATGAAAAATAAAAAAATTTTAAATCTAAAAAATTGTGCATTTTACAATATATTATCTACATCATCCATTTTCAAGATTTTGATACGTTTATAGATCTAATTGATTTAAACTATTTTTAAAATTTAAAATTTTATAATTAGATATAAAAATAGATTTTGAGGTAATCCTAAAAACAATTTTACATCAAAATTATATACATGATAAATTTTGAGGGCGCCACTTACCATAAAACAGCTACGGATGCAACGATATTGCCAACTTCACCCATTTTTTAATGAAATAAGTTGAGTTCACAACGAGGCTTGGAGTAGAGGCCTAAATTTGTTTGGAGACTTCAAATTATTCCAAACCAAATCATTATAAACTTTTTCCCTTTTCTAAAGTGATTTGGGGGTGTATTGCGCCAAGTCCAGAATTTCCGATAGAAATACGACCAGTCTCTTGGGAGATATCTAATTAAATTAAAGAAAATCAGACCATGGCCAATTCAAGTTGGACACGGCGCGTTCTGAATCAAAGTTCCAACGAGAAAATTGTAACAATGGAGGTGCGCTATATGAGACCACGTCCATTAATCCAAAGAGTGTGAGTACTTAGAGCCCATCACTTTCGAATCGATGACTGTACAAGAGGAAGAGAGCGGGACCCACTATGACATGTCACATTCCCTAACAGGTCCTATCACTCTCGAAACTAATCCGTCATATTAATAAATAAAAGATGAAATGCCTACGATTTCTCCATAATGGTTAAAACTTCAATATATTTTTTCAATAAATACCAACAAACTTTTATCTTCGTTTTTTTTTTTTTTGAGATGGGATACATTGAGATGATTTGCCGTCACAATTATTGTGAAATCTGATAATTTAAATGTGTCACAAAATACAAAAAAATTTATTTTAAAATTTGTTTGTGGCCAATGGAATAAATACAACTATACAACTTTATATCCGATAATCAAATATTAATTGTGACGACCTTTTACCAGCATCATTGTATACTTTTCCTTTTTTTTTAGTGGAATAAATACCAATGAACATATGCCATCCATCATTTGGGGTTTCCAAACAGTTTCCTGACTTGTTCCTACTCCCCCGCCCGTCAAATAGATCAACGGACGGCCAGGATCATCCGCCCAACTGCTTTTGTGTAAAGGAACGCAAGTGTTGATATCATACGGTCAGGGAGGCGCTAAGACACTGTTTGAGACCAAACTGGCAGCATAGGATACAAAACCAACACTAAACACCACAGATCCAAACAAATATCACAACATTAAATTAGTAATTACCTGACCAATCTCTTCCCATAGTGAAGAGTTAAAAGAGGCAGCCGTCAAAATGACCTGAGGAAAACTGGTGGCACCGGGAACATTACCGCCAAACCTTGTACCGGGCCCCACATTCGACACACCGTGTAAAGCCTCCGACCACCATTCATAGTGAGGAACGCCAAGCCTCGCCAACCCCTCCGCGTTGTTAACCAGGAGCCTAGTCTTTTCCGGCAAGGTTAACCGCCGGATTAAGTCGCTAACCCTGGCGTTAATCGGCAGTGACCGGTCACAAAACGGAAACGAACCCATTTGTCCGTCACAAGCGAAGGAGGGGCCTGGTTCTACGATGGCCGGAAAAGTTGTCGCGATGAGGAGAGAGAAAAACGTGGCCAAAAGTATCGATTTCGCCATTGCAAGAGAGAGAATGAGAGGTGGGGGAACTTGTCTTTGGAGAAGAACTTATAATGGAGTGAGAAGGGCGGAAGAAAAAATCGTTTTGGAGCGAGAGAGAAAGAGAGGTGGGAAGAAAGATCGTGTTAGAGTGAGAAAGAGGTGGCGGAAAAACTCATCTTAGTTTGCGAGAGAGATGGGAAGAAACTCGGCTTCTAGACGGAGAGGAGTTGAAAAACACTCCTATTGCGAGAGAGTAGGTGAAGAAAAAAATGGTCTTATAGAGAGAAAGGCGGAGAAGAAATGCGGTTTGGAGAGAGAAATGGAAGAAAAACGCATCTTAGAGTGGGAGAAAGAGTGAGAAGGAAGCTCCTATGCCGTGACGAGACGAGTAGTCAGTCGTCTTGGAGTGGGAGACAGAGGTCGGGGTGAGGTTGGGTTATATAGGGGGAATTGGCCTAGCGAGTAGAGTAGCCCGTGCTGGTGGAAAAAATCGCCGATGAATTGGGGACCACGTCGGAAAAACCACCGGCCGGGAAAATAGGGCCGGTGGTCCAGATTTCGGCTTCTGGCCGGATGCTAGATAGAAAGAGAATGTGTTTCTAGAGAGAGAGAGAGAGGGCATTTAAGGTTGGGAAAGAGGCTCCAACCAGATTTTGTTTGTATAAGAATTTTATTCTTTGAGAGCTCCATAATGCGTTTCCAGTCGCATCTTTCCTTTTGCGATGATGAGCTTCGTTGTTTCTTTTACTTTCTTTGCGCCCGCCCCGCCCTTTTACTTGGTGGCCCATACCATACACACCATGTCATCCATGAGAAGCCGATTGGGGTTTTCCTAGATTTCTCACACATTACTCTTTTGGCTAGAGAGAGAAAAGAGCCTAGATGTCCTTACAATTTACTCCTTTATCCAAAATAGAGAGAGAGAGAGACTACTTTGAATTTTATTTTTATGGGGGAAGGTGAAGAGAGAGAGTATTCCTTGAATTTGGTCCTCTTGTTTTGAGAGAAAAAGAGGGTTAAAATAGTAACATCACTCGTGGATTTTTAAAGGTAAACTCTTGAAGTTTTGAATACTAAGATAAGATTTTGATAAGAGGACTGTTTTTGGATCACCCACCTACTATTTCCGATCCACATCGGTCATCCAACTCTAACAAATCGGTGGTACCTGATAATAAAAGAAAAAAAAAACAAAAATAGAATGAAGGAAGAAAACATTTCTCATAATTTTCTTTGAAGAATTACGATATCTTAAATAAAAATTGTAGGTTTTAAGTTAGACTGATGACCAAACCCAGATCAATGATTCCCAATCTAGAGCAGTAATGTTTCAAGCACTGTTCAAGAGGATACCACTCAATGCACATTACGGAATTTAATATTTAGGCAGAAGATAGGAATGGAATAGAGAATTCCTTCATCGTTCTTTCCTTCTAATTTGTTTCTAGTTTCATTTTCGAATCTTTTTGACAAATGGCCAAAATGCAATAATTTGAAATACTCATCATTTTTTTGACAATGCTGCAATGAACTTGGTTCTCCTCTTCGTTTTTTTGCTCTTTTATCAAGTGAGTGAAAGTTTGGGATCTTTAAGTAAGGGTAGAAGTGAAGATGGGGTTTAGGATAAAGGAGTATGGATATGATAAATTAAGGCCCCACAAATCGGTTGAGAATTGGTTTAGAGATGTTTGGTGGGTTTGCATCATTTCCCTTTAACGATCCTATCACCATACATGACAACACGTTTCCTTTAGCAACACACCTTACCACCGCATATTGTTAAGAGATTATATATTTTTCATCAGCTGTCTTTGAATTCTTGATATTGGATTTTTTTTTTGTGCACCTCTTCATGATGTGATGAATAGAATGTTTGGTGCTTTGGATGAGTTGTTGCATGTAAAAGGACAAGCCCCCTCACATGATAATGGCGCCAAATTCTTATATATATATATATATATGCTGGGTTGTATTATATTGTACAAAGACATACAAACATAATTCTTTTGATGGATGATTAAGCTCAATATTATACTTTATTGTTATTCTCCCACCCCCAATCTTTTTAGATTGTTGTCATGTTCACCCTCCATATTCCTACACATGCTAGAGAGAGAGAGAGAGAGAGAGAGAGAGAGAGGAGGGCAT